TGAGAAAAAGACAGGAAATAACTAAGCAATCTTCTGTATCCTTCTGTATGCAGGTATGTATAACACATTCTCTCATGTCATGATCAGGTGGCACTTTTAAATGTTTGCAAGACCTCACTTGCTTCAGTGATACTGTCTGTCCGTGCAGTGTGAGGCTGTGAATGATCTGAGATCCAGGATAACCCACCCCATCAGCTGATGACATCCAGGGGTCAGGGCTCAGCTTAACAAGTCCCATGAGACAGGACAAACTTTAGTCCTTGGTCACTGGTGCCACACCTGACCACACAAGGTGTCTCACGTCAAATCCCTGTAGAGCTCCGCTCGTCAGTGCTTGTCAGCTCTGCCATCTCGGGACACAGCAAAAAAAGCAGTTGTCTTTCCAGGCCTAAAAAGACAAATAAAGATGCACACATTTGCTGAGGTTTCAGAAATACTCCTGTATTATTTGTGTACATATACATGTGTGTGTACAGATGTAGGGCTTGTCAGGGACATGCTTAGTCTGTTGGGTGACATGCAGACCTCAGTGGTCCTTGTGCCTCAGAACCAGAGGTACAGTGCTGCCACTCCAGCAGCAAATCTTTAGAAATACTTGGAGGATGATGAGTTGTCCTGTCTGCCTTTGTCATTTCAGCATGTGGAAGATGGGCAAATCTTTCTTTCTGCATTTTCTGGAAGAGGTAGAACAACATAGGTTGAGTAGATAAGGTATCAAATACAGGGATAGTGACTCACCTCACCAACTGCATCTTGCCAATGGCCTCACACCTTGTGAATTTTTTTAAATTAATCTTTCAGTGTCTTACCACTCATTTGTCATGTTGACAGGCAGTGGCCAGCAGAGAACACTAGCTACTGTTATAGGGTCACTGAGGCTGAAGAGAAAATGTAGAAAATAGCAATAAATATAAAACTGCTGGTCTGTTTCTAAATACATAGCTGGATAAATGGTCATTGTGAATATGTTTGCAGGTAGAAATACAGCTATTCTGTTGGTGTTAAGCAACTTCATCTTCAAAGAAGAGCCTAAGGCTAAAAGATATGCTTCATTATAGATGAGGAGGAAATAGGTGTTCAGAGGATGTCTTGAACTGAGCATTCTGACTCAGAGGAAATGTAGATGTATAGAGAGGAGCACAGAGAAGATGGAAGCTATTCCTCTACCTGGATTTGGTAACACTTCCTCCTGTTATGATGACATGACCAATTATTTGTTGTCAGAGGATTTCAAATGTCCCGTTAGGGTACAGTGGAAACATATCAGAGTCAAGGATTTTCCTTGGGTGTCCTCTGAAGGAGCTTGTGACATGTGAGAAAATACCCTTCTGGGAAGATGAGTTACGTGAGGACCATCTACCAGGCTTAATCTAAAGGAGAGGTGAAGATGATGTTTTCTGGAAAACTTACAGATAGAGGTATCCGTGTCTTGGTCTGGCAGACAACAGTGTTGTAAAGGAATCACTCAAATCTTCACTGTGTATTAGAAGGATAAATCTAAATTTTCTTATTTGAAGAAGGGCATACATAGTATTTCTAGGTAGGCAAAAGCAGGTTGCAGTGATAGAAGCAGCCACAAACAAATGCAAAGCCAATGTGTAAGGGTAACCCTAAAAACTGAAGGTGTTATGGGAGATGACAGTAAAAAGTTTTCATTATGACTGAATATTAATTAGTGACATAGCTATTAATGATGACAGTAATTAACAGAGGAAGGAAAGACTTGTCATTGTCCAAAGGGTGAGTAATCAGTCTTGGCAGGTGATAAATAATGGTTCAGCAAGCTCAGCAGAAAGATAATCTGTCTGCCTCAGGACAACTGGAGAACAGCTATAACATCTTCCAGGCTCTTGGCAGCAGTCTCTGTTAAAAACATGACTTCATGTTTTTAACAGAGACAAATTAAAATTCCTGATCTCAATTGCTACTTATATTCTGGAGTGGATGATCACAGGAGTTCTGGTTGAGTCAGTGCCTTCAGTTTACTTACCCTTTTAAACCTTTCCTGCCCATTTAAACCTTTCTTATGAGGGGTGAGAAAGACTGAGGAATTCAGCATTCAGCATTACTTGAGTTTTTCATTGTTGTTTGATGGAAATTTAATAAATTCCTCAGAAGTGTCCCAGAGCTAGGGACATGATCATCCTATGTTAAAATGTAGTGGGACTTAGTCCTAAATCAGGAACTAAGTGTTCCTGTACTGGAAAGGGAAATGATCTGGAAAGGGAGATCGTGCAGAAACCACTTCACTTCCTGTGAGCAAAGCGATGCAATACTGTAGGTGATTGTCAGGTATCAGCTCTCACATCACTTGGGAATACAATGCCTAAGAGACCACTACAAACCTGCAACCAGAGACCAAAATCAGGAGAAACAGTGGATTTTTTTTTGTTTAGGGAATGAACTGAAAAATCAAGAAAGATTCTGGTTTCACTTGAACCAAGACAGCATTTTGTGAGGTTTTGTTTCTAACAAATACAGAAACACTACAGTTTTAATCTTCTTGAATTAGCTTTCTAACCATAAATGTTGTACTCGGTCTTCAAAATTTTTTTTTTGGTAAAAGGTAAAAGGGAACACCCATGTTTATAAAATACAATATTTTATTAACAAACTTGTCAAAACAACATGGCTCTGAACATATTCCCCATATGTTATTCAGCTAACAGTGTTCACTAGATGCCTTTTCATTTAGCAGATAATTTTGCAACCCTCGTACATATTTTTCTGAATAAATTTATTGGTCAAGAAAATTACATGACCTCAGGATGCATGTGGCATGATAGTTTTAGTAGAGAAAAGAAAGTGCTGGCACCATTGCCAGAGGCATTGGTTTGCTGTTCTGCCAGGTACTGACTGCAGTTTTGGTGAGCTCAGTGCAAAGAAGCTGATTTAAATTTGAGAAGTTGCTGAATGGTAAAGTATAAGGAGAAACCACCTTAAGAGGACATAGGAAGGGTTGGGTTGGTTTAATGAGATGGAGGCAGGAAGGCAATGTGTCAGCCCTCCATAGAAACATTCAGGAGAAACTGTCAAGGAAGAAGAATCATTATTTTCCTTCAATCATAATACGGTTATAAAATGCATATAAATTGCACATTAACAAACTTAGGTTGTGAAGTTACAGGAAGAATCCAATCTATTAAAAAAATAATTCTGGAATAACTTCGCAGATAGGGTAGTGGCAACTGAAAATGCTCCTAGGTGAAGTTGAGAAGTGTGGAAAATGACCACACTGCTGCGAATACAAGATCATGAGATTGGTCCTTTAGTATCTGGTTTGCCTTTGAGGCATGTTGAGACAGTACCCAGCTGCTGCTTGTTGACCATATCTGCTTGCCCAGTGTATAAGTGAAATCAGATGCTTCCCTGATCTTCAGGAGCCCTGCTGATTCCCTGCAGGAATCCAGGGAATTGTTGTTTCATCTGTAGGATGAGGTAGGTCAGTCCATATTGCTGCCTGCTGCTGAAGCCTGTCTGAAGAGGATTTGCTGGTGCTCTTTGTAGTGTTCTGGGTCAACTTCCATTGTCAGGGGAGTGGGAGCTGCTGTCCCCTTCTGTGTGGGGTAGAGCTCACATTTCTAATGAGAATTTCACCTGTATGGGAGAGTCAGAGCTGCAGATAATTGCTGGAACCTGGAGCACTAGCAGTACCTATTGTTTCTCTCTGTGGCATATTATGACTCCTAGCTTTTATTATATTTAAGGTTTGCTGAGGGTGTGGGGATGCTTTGGTCCTGTGGGAAGCAAAATGTTCTTCTGGAGCAAACATGGTGATTATGCTGCTCCTTGAAGTCCCATTCGTGTCTGAGCTCGGAAGTGCTCCACACAGATAAGATCCTCTGGGATTTGTTTTGTAAGCCTGAACCAGTTTGGATGGGGCTTTGAGCAGGCTGGTCTAGTGGATAGCATCCCTGCCCATGGCTGGGGAGCTGGAACTGGATATATTTAGGTGTCTTCTAGCCCAAGCCAGTCTATGATTCTATGATGTGTTACTGGGATTATTAGCCTACTGTATGTGATTGCAAATATTTCTGCGGACATTGACAGGATGCTGAGAAGGGCTCGGTGTTACGTCTGCATCCAGACATGACATTGGTAGGTTGTGATGAATACTGTTGTAATTTAGTATGGGCTTGCCGTATTGCATCCAAGTGTCTTTGCTGATTGCCTTTGACTATAGAGAACTCCAGCTGACTTGTACACACCATAATGTTTAATTTTAAGCTTAACTTTCTGAGTATGAGATTTAACTAAATTTTGCTGCTCTGTCAGATATATTTTGGTAACAGGACTTTCTGCTGAACAGTGACAAGTTTTCCACTTCTGTGATCTCCATGCAAGCAGCAGAGGTTGTATGCAGAGGATCATCCTAGAGAATTTGATGTTCATTATAAGATTGCAACAACTTTTATTGTACTGGATGGGCCCTGAAAACCTAATGAACTTCCTGATGGATCTTAAAGGCTCAATCTTCCAGCCACCATTCACAGGGGCTGTGGTTCAAGGCTCTCTGAATACCACCTCCTTCTCTAAGACATTGCTTGTCTTTGACATAAGCAAGGCCCTCCTGTCAGTTTTTGACTGATGTTTCAGTTCTATACATTTGCATGTTACAGGTGTGAGGTGCTAGTAAATGCTCCTTTGTCTGCTTGCTAACCAGTGCCTGCAGAAACTTGTATCTGTATGCTGAGGTGAGAATAAAATGGGAGAGAACAGTTACAGAGAACCATTAGACTAATATCTGACTTCAGGTATATCAAGTCTGCTATTGCACAGAAAGTCCCTTGGGACTTAGTACCTGTCAGTAACCATGTAGCTGCAGTGTGGCACAAGAAGGAAAAACATTCTGAAGCCTCAGTGGAAATAAAAAGCAAAATGGAATAAAGCTCATGCCAGTTCTGTTGTATCTATCTCAATGTTATCTCTCTCTAGGGCACTCAAACCTGTGGTCTCGGTGTCTAATGCTTTCTTAAATTTTTGTTCATTTGTTTGTTAAGGTTCTGATATTGTGCAGTGGCTTATGAAGAACCTCAGCATTGAGGATGCAGGTAAGGCGACCACAGCTGGGGAGAAATAGGTGCTCCATCTGTATTGTGTGTGTGCCATTAGACAGTAAATACTATATTGCTGCAGTCTAAAATGGCAGTAAAAGAGCATGGTTGATTTAAACATTGGAGGGGAGGAGGAGGAGGAAAGGAGTTAAGAGTCAACATCTTAATTAAGTCTAATGCCTTATATTGCAACACACTGAAATACTATTGCAGGCATTTTAGCCTGTCTGTGGAACTGTTGCTGCTTACAGAAGACTGATTGATTTTAGGTTTTGTTCCTAGATTTCAAAAAGAAGTTGGTGGATGTGTGTGGTTAAGCAGGCAAATACATCGTCAGGTTTTCAAAGTGTGAAGAAAAGTAGCCTCAGCTGACAGAACATAGTGTCTCTGTCATTCTTGGCCAGGGTCATAGAATTTGATAATGGTTTTTAATTTATCACAAAAAGCAAATAGATAAATCAGCAGATAGACAAATGGATAATCAGCCATAAAGAGTGATCAGTGCATGGGCACAATCCAAATAGCTCACTCTTCAGAGAAAGTGAAATTATTTAGGCAAGTGAAGACCTATTGAGAAAAGGGGAAGAAAAGATCTGCAGGTCCAGAAGTTTCTTTTCCTTTTCAGAAAAGGGAAAAATCCAGACTCTCACCTACCAGTTTTTAAGCTGCCTTACTGTCATCATGTAAAAACAGAGATAGAGGCAGTGTTGAATCACCCAGCAGGGCATCCCTGTACGCACATCCCTTCTCATGAGTCCTGTCAGGTCCCAAATCTGAATTTCAGTTGCAGATAACAGCTTTGTTATCTATCTGGACATGCACAAGCAGATGATTTTTCAATTCTATGAAAGATGATGCAGTTTTTGACAGCTGGCATTGCTTGAAAATCTGCACAGATGGGCCTCTGCATTGGGGAAGGTTGCCTGGGCAGCGCTAGGATATATAACTCCCCTTTGCAACATTTTCTCTAACAAAGGGCAGTGCTACAGTGTGAGGATGTGTCTTTATGAATAAATACCCTGCTAATGAACTGGTGTTGCAGGTGCTTGTTGGATTTGGTAGAAGCAAGTGAGGTTCACTGGTGAAACAGGCTTCTTGTCAGCTGTCACCTGTGGTGGAGAATGTACTTTGAAATTAATTTCTTACTCTAGGACTGAACTGGTGTGTGAATTTTGTAAACAAAAACCTAACGGGTTAACATTTAAGCGATGCTTCATCTGTATTGTAAGGCTGATTTCTGCACCCCTGCTTTACAGGCTTTGGCTGGAAGTAGTAGGGATGTAGTGTGGGTACAGAGAGGCATGTGGGCACCAGATTTCACATGAGTCATCACTAGAGCTGCAATTGAAAGCAGAGAAATGTGTGGTGCCTGTCTTGTTGACACATCCCTGCTGTTTTTTCTCTTTCACAGGGGAAGCAATACACTTGGGAAGTCTTATTGCTGCGCAGGGTTACGTCTTTCCCATCTCAGACCATGTCCTTACCCTTAAGGATGACGGGACATTCTATCGTTTCCAGGTTGGTGAGCACCCTGACTCCCCTGTGGCCCCTTCTTCTGTCCCTGCAGTAATACTGCTGAAATCACCCACTCTTTATACCTAAGCAGCCATTAGATCTATGAAGTCAGGAATTAAGGCTGTCTTCATAGAGGCCCTAGGAAATTATGAAGTCCCTGCAAAAAAAATTTGCTTTAGAATCCCAAATCACTCTCATCTACCTTCTGACTTAGTTTTTTACATAAATGAATGGTTATGTCTTGTGACTATTTCTGATACCTGAATGCACAGCTGTTTTACTCCAATTTGAACTGAACCAGGAGAAAGAAGGCGGCTTTCAGGTCCTAACTCTGATGCAGAATTAAGTAGCCATTCTCCTGTGCAAAATGGACCAGGATAAACATAGAAGCTGGACATTCAAGCTTTGGCACAGCAAAAAATTCAAATTTTTGTCATCTCTTGCTTACAGATTGGTGTGGGAGAGGGCAAGCTTAAGGCTTTGGCTCTTCTAAAAAGGATGTATAACCTTGGCAATCACCTAAACTGGGACATCTCAATCCGTCAGTGTTCCTGTGCCTCTAGATGTGCTGAATTTTTTAAGCACCCTGTGTTTGAGTTCCATGCCCTGTCCAAAGTCTGCCACTGTCAGCTCACTAGATAACTGAGTGCTTGTGCTGCAAAAGCTCCTTCTGAACTGATTGTATAACTTTAGAAGAAGCAGTAAGTCTAAACTTGGAGTCCTGCTGCCTCGTCCTGCTGGCTGATTTTGTGTTTTTCTGTTACATTGTCTCAGCCAGCTTTCTTATCTTTCCTGTCACCTCTCTTCTGTTCACCCTCCTGTTCCTCCTTTACATTTTTTTACTCTTTTTTAGCTTTTATTTGAAAAGCCAGTTCTGCTCTTTGCATCTGATGTTGCAGCTGCTCATGCCTACTGCTACTGTGGTATTGTGTTATCATATGTGACCAATGTCACGGTGAAAAAAGAAGCCCACGAGATCACAGATCTCCTCTTATCTCACCCCACCTTCTGGTTGCAAGGCATAGTTCAGACTCAGATTTTTCATTACAATTCTCTTTCTTTTCTGAAAGTCCTGATCCTCCTGTCGTGTATGACACAACAGAAGCAGGGGTAATACTGGCTGTCCATTTAGCTGTATTTTTCTCTGTTTTAAAAGAATGGCACTCTAAGAACTTGTCCTGTGCAGTTTTCAGGAGCTACAATTCAATATAACTTAATTTCTTTTTATTGTTTTAAGCCTGTGTAAACCACATCATCAAACTGACTGCTTATTGACTTTTCTTTCCCTTGTCTTTTCTTACAACTTTTGCATATTCTTTGCCTGTTTTCATTTCCTCCAACACACCTCCTTAGGTGTTTTCTACAAAAATAACCTGATAGAATCATGCTTTTATTCCATTATTCTCTTCTTGTTACTTTTTACCTCAACCTCAGTCGCTCCTTTAACAGTAGCTCTTTATCTTCTGGAAATCACAAGATTCATATCAGTAGGAGCATTGAACCCTGTATCATTTGAATCCTCCATGTTTTCTCACTGTACTTTGGTGGAAGGATTACCAAACTGTGTGTTAATGTCTAATGCCCATCTGTAGCAATACATCAGTAAAGCAATGTGTAATCAGTAATGCATCAGTGTTCTGTAATTTGTGTGATGGCTGGTATGTTATTTTTCATTAATGTTAAATCTGAAATGCATTCATATATAGCTTGTAGTTAATTGTAGCAACTGCAATATGCAGTCCTGGATAAAAAACAAAAGCACTAAGTATAGCAGGACTTCTGCTTTTGGAATGACTCTAAACAGCTGAGTTTTGACCTCTGCCATCTGTTACAACTAAAAAGGAAATTGTTTTGGAGTCTTCCAGCCGCATTGGTAGCTGCTCCAGAAGAGCAAGGGATATGTAGCATATAGATAAGACCACAAGGTTCCTCATGCACTTAAAAAAGTATATATATTCAGGTTGCCTGTGAATTCTTGGGGAAAGAGGAGGTTCTGGGGATAGTGGATAAGATGTCCACATTCAGATGAACTGCCAACAGTGTCTGAAATTTCATCAGGACACTGGACATCCTCCACAAGAAGCGCTTGCATTACAGCATCTCTGTTTACCTGCAGTGAGGACTATGAAAAGTTTTTGCAGCATCCTCACTTTTACTGTAATCTGTAGCAGTGTTTCCCCTGAGGGCAGAATCTGGGAGGTAGATTTTGTGATTCGTCTTTTTGAACTTTTAATGTTTTTCTGCATCTGAATCGGTTTTTACCTCTTAAATTACAAAAATGTATATGTTTTTTCTTAGGCACCATACTTTTGGCCTTCAAATTGCTGGGAACCAGAAAACACAGATTATGGTGAGAGTATGATTGTTTCATTATAGAAAGTTAGTTTGTGATGTAAACAGTTGTCCTCAAAATAATGACTGCTGGCCACGTGCACCCTTCATGTACAGAGTTTCTTGTCAGGCAGCAGCATCAGAGGTAGGTCTGTGCCCATCTCAAATGTACAAACTGAAACCCTGGGGTGTCTCAAGCCCCTGGAGCTCAGTGGGGTCAGGATTTTGCCATCCGTTGCCTTCATTCTCCCATAGCTCTGTTCATTTCAGCAGGATTTGTGGCAAGCAGAATACTGGTTCTTGGGAATCTTAAATAATACTGATGTTGCTTTTGTGGGAGACTATCCTCTGATCTGTTGCTGAATCCGTTATGTGGATCAATAAAATTTACTTCATCTGGGCACTTACTGAGTGATCAATACACCAGTACATAACTAACAGCAGCCCATAGTTAAAAGTTCTCTGATACATGACATCAGACTTATTTTCCCATTTTTTTAAGATTACCAGATGATACGGTAAAAGAGAAGACTGAGCATGGTTTATGAGTTAATAAAGTGCAACATGGTGTTTTAAACATGTGAGTGCCTGCAGACAGAGATAATACATAAAGAAAATATGTCAGTGTTGTTATCTTTAGCTGTCTGCATGCAATATTGCTCTCTTCCAGAACTGCACTGCTTTCACAGTTAAATGATAAAATTAATTGTTGCATCCTGATGTGGCTTTGGAGGAGGAAGTGTATCCATGTGTGCAGTCATAAAACGGGAGCTTCTGGAAGTCCTTTATCTCATAATCTAAGATTGGTTTAGAACGCGTCCCTGAATAATCAGTTTGGGTTTTTTTCTTTCCTGGCCAATAATTACTTATCATTATGGATTCTGGAAATCATTTGCTGGGGTGAAGAAGTAGCCTGCAATGGTGTGTCATATGATAGTTCATTTGCAGTCCTCATCTGCAGATGAGCTAGACTTACATGTTTATCCCAGTGAGGGAATGGTTAAAGAGCAAACAAAATGCTGGCTTTTATTTGCAAAAAAAGTCCACATTTTACAGTCACCCTATATTACTGTGTGAACTGTGCTTCATATGTATTCTTTAAATACCAGAAAAATAATGTGAAGAGGGAGGTTCTGTTTTTTTCCTGCAATATCAGATAAATAATTGGTTTTGGCAGTCAGATTATTGTGCTGCACTGAGTGGAACAGTACACCCCAAAATAAAGCCCTCTATGAGCTGACCCACAGCTGGACAAGCTTCAGCTGCATTAGCTGAGCCCTGTAGTGACAGATTTTCATCTGTCCCAGAAACCTCTAACATATGCTTATAATCAGACTTTGCATATCAGAGGCCTGTACAGATGGAGTCTTCCCAGGAATTAATCCCAAACTAGCAGTAGACCCAAATAAAACTGAAATCCCAGGACTACTTCATACTTTTTTTATTTGCATGTGTCCAGTTACAGGAGAGGAACTAACTTGCTAATGGCAGTTCACTGCCTTGCATGAAAAAACACTGTGAGACAACTGACTCACTTCATTTGGTGTCATAAACACCTTACAGAGAAAACTGCCCTTGAGATGTGTAAATATAAACGAACTGATCAACTCTGGCTCATTATATGAATGTTTAAATTACAGAAACAGCGTGGAGTAGAATTACATGAGTAGCACTGGGCCTCCATTAAGTTCAGACCTGACTGCATACACAGAGTGTGCTGTGAACTTTGTGTGTCAGCCTTTAATGGAAATGGGGTGAGCTTAGCAGATCCAGGTGGCACTTTCCCAGCAGGCAGCCCAGGACTGGTTTGGTGGTGTGTGCTGGGCCCATCTTGACCTTCAGAATTCCAAACCACATCAGTTTCAGCAGCCTCTGCCTATAGCAAAATGTGACAAGGCTTCTCTTAACCATTTGAAATGTGTAAGAATAAGAGGATGGAGCATATTAAAAAACACTCAGATCATGCTTTTAAGATCTGGCCCATATTTCTGTTTTCACTTCAATATCTGGATTTATTTTTATTTTTTCTTAGCAGAAAAGAAATACAGGGATGGTCACTTTGGCATGCATATTCCCAAACTGCTTAGGGAACAGGTTGCTTATACTATATCTTTTACCAGACCCAGGAGCAATTGTGCCTTTTGTGGACATCTTGTTAGGTCCTGGCATCTGCTCTCAGCACTTTTAAATGAGATGTCCCAGATGTTCAGGGCCTCTGAGATTAGTTATAAGCAATGTCAGCTGGGTGTCCAGCCCTCTCATTCCTTGACTCGTGGTGCTTTCTGATGAAAACAAACTGTCTATAGACTATTTTTTCCTTCTTTTTTTCTTTTTTCTTTTTTTTTTTTTCTTTTAAGATCTAGTACTAATAATCTGTCTGTAATTGTTTTCCATTCTGTTTCTCCCTTTAGCCATCTATCTTTGCAAACGGACCATGCAGAACAAAGCTAGGCTGGAGCTGGCGGATTATGAAGCCGTAGGTACACTGCTGCTAGAGTTTAAAGCTGGGGATGCAGGGATAGCTTTGCTTGCCAAGTGAATGCTGCAATTTTGTGCTTTGGGGTCAGCCTTGACTGTGTCTTTTCCTTAGTTGTCAGAACTGTGTGAAGCCTGATAGGAAGACAACATCAGGAACAAGACTGATGAATGTCCCTGGCTTTGCAGTGTCCAACATTAAAGCATCTACTGTATAATGAGCCCTTCAAGACTGGAGCAAATTACACAGAAGTTTAGCTTGGTGTCCTGTTTTCAGTTAGGAAATCCTGGTTTATATAGCAGATTTCAGCACGGGAAAATGATGGATTTTTCAGGTGTGCCACTGGGCAATTAAATTGTTGATGACACATCTTGTTACAAAAGTTCTCAGATATTAGACTTGGAACATTTTCTATATGCCATATGAAAAGTATCACTGAACTTTATTTAGAGTGCATTTTCTGATATGGAGTTACTATCAGTAAAAATATCTCAAACTTTCATGTCAGACTGCAGGGTGGAGAGGAGTGGGAAGATGGAGGCAGGAGGGGCAGGGCTGAGTGTTTTTTTGAATACCAGCAGTGTAGCACTCTAAGCAGCTAATCTTTTCTTTCTGTCATACTGACTTTCTTCTGTTTACTTGCTCAACAGTGTAATAGCAGAATTTTATACATGGAGTTTTTCATTAGAGGGTTTGTTTACAAGTCTAGTGGACTTATGCAGTACTGTTTGTTACAATGAAAACATTTATGTTGCATATATTTGCATATGTTTTAGAGTGGGATTCTTGGTTTGTTTTTTTTTTTCCCCAAGATTGAAGTTTTTCCTTCTTCTTTGCCTTCTACATTTTAGAATATTTGTGCACATGGAGAGATAGGCCATTTGGTCCTTTCAGTGCAGAGCATGCAAAATTGCCACTTACCTAGTCCACCCTGGAAATGCCTTCCAACTTCCCAAGAGTTCTAATCTCAAACAGGCACAAAGGAAGGAATATAACAACCTGCATGCACTTACATGTCCTTTTGCTGAGTTTTCTCTTCTGCATATTGTTGATTTCATGATTAAAACCATTAAAATTGTTCACATCCAACCAATTAAGTGTAAGTACTCCGAAGATCTACCATAAAGCAACAAAAGGCTGTTCAGCGGCGCACATACTCCCACACACATGCAGTCAGGCTTTGGCTAAGTACTTTTGCACATTGTTGCCTACTGAGAGTAGCAATGCTCTAGTGATGGTAAATAATTAGATCTTGGCAGTCTCTCATTTTTCTTGTGAATATTGCATTGCACAATTAGAGGTTACTTCTGCATTCAAACTTTGTTCTCTTAATTAGAGACATTCAGATAACAGTGGCACCAACTCTTCCTAAGCATTATGGGAGCTGAAGCAGATCCAGGAAGGGATGTAAGCTCAGCACTAGTGAGAGAAGCAGGTTTGCAGGAGTGAGAAGCAGTGCTTCTCATACCTTTGGTGATGCAGCATGAGAATGTTTCTCCATAGATATCAGCAGTGACCTGGAGCTACAAGAGAATAGAATTTCATTTTTAGGTTCTGCTTGCAGCATTTACAGACAGTCCCCCAGCCCACATTTATACTGATTAGAGCAGGGGACTTGATGATATGATTAAGCTTGTATAGTTGCATTCAGGTTTTTTTATAATTTGTCAAACATAAGCACAATTCAAATATAGCTTCCGTTGGTGATGTTTCATTTGCTTCAGCATATTTACTTCAGAGGGCACATGTGAACATAATTTAAAATAAAATAAAAATAATGAAAAAAATACAAAAATTTGTGTTAAGATAATTACAAGTTGTTGTTCTTTGTAGCCACAGTTAAGGAAATCATCACGGGTCAGTACAGCTGTAAATCATTTGTTTAACTTTTTTCCTCCATATGTACAGACTGAAACTGTTACATGGACTTGGTGGTAACAGGGCCAAGCTTTATGCCTTGTGTTATACAAGAATTTAAAGTAACTAGAAGGAAGATTTCTTGCATTGAAATGTGTGTGCCTGAAAAATGTTTCTCAAAATAAAGGTGCTAAGTATAAGGAGAACAAGAGTAGAACTACAAGTGTTTGTTTTCAATGTAAATTTGAAGCAGTTAAACTAGCTGTAATGGAGAAGAACATCCTGTTAATTGGCTCTCAGGCCTGCTTTCTTGGGGAGGATATGGATATGTAACTTCAGGGTGCAATTTAAGCCTGAAATTCCAGGCATGTTCTGAGTTTAACCTCAAGCTGTGGTGAAGCCACATCCACATCCAAATGTTCAGATAGCTACACTCTGGAATGGGTCTGGACCAGAGCTGTTACTTCAGGTGTAGAGCAAAACTGCATCTGGAGCTATTCTTTGCAGTAACTGTGTTCATTGTTCAGACAAACAAGCTATTTCCTTTTGTGAATCATCCTGGCAATCCCCAGCCTTCAGTACTGTGCAGCTGCATAATACTCTCAGCAGCGACCAGGACTGAGCAAAGCAGGGGACGCTCAGGCTTTGCACCTTCACAGAAGCCTGAAGAGAAGAGAACAGTGCAGAGAGGAGGGGAAGTGAGGATGAGAGGGAAACGTGCAGCTGGCAGCCATCTGCTATCAGAAATGAAAGTCATCAGCTTCACAAAGCTTCTCAGTGTTATCTTTTGGGAACAAGTCCATAATTTTTTTCATACTAGAGCTCAAGCTGTCTTCATCACACTCCATTACTTATGCCTGGCAGGGCCCTTTGGGTTGCAGCCCAAAAAGATGTGTTACAGCCTTGCTTTGCCTGCACTGCAGTTCACCTGAAACCAACACTGACTTCCATGTCTTTAGTTTCTCAGTTAAAAAATAAAAGGAATAAAATAAATACCCACCATGCTAAATGTATTCTCAAGCAATTGCTATAATTACAGAAATTAGTTGTTCTTACTATTTTGATCTTTTGACAGGAAAACTTAGCAAGGCTTCAGAGAGCGTTTGCAAGAAAGTGGGAATTCATCTTCATGCAAGCAGAGGCCCAAGTGAAGTGAGTAATCCTGGAGCACTGAATTGCACCAGTATTTAGAGCTGTGAAGGGAAGGGGATTCTGAATGGATAAAACTTCTTTGTCAAAATCTTTACTGTGACTAAGCTCAGAAGGTGTTGGTGAATTTTAATCACTGGCAGACTAGAAACAGTAGAGAGCCAATTCTGAAGGTCTGTGCCAGAAAATGAAAGATGGGTTTAATTATCTGTACATGGAAACACTGGTCTGGAGCTCCTAAGCCGGTATTCACCATGGGACCTTGGGTAATTCACAAGCCCATTGTGCTTCTACATTTGTGGAGTATTTTTGTTTTGTATGAATGAAAAGAACAGAATTTTGTCATCTGTCTGTTACTCTATTCTTGCAGAGTATTTCTGAGTCTAAAAATACTGTCACTTCCATGTGATTATGAGGGTGATATTTACAACAGGTATTTCTTCTCATCTTCTCATCTTCCCTTGTGAAAGACTGATGAAGCCTCTTTATATTTTGAGTGTGTTTTCATTACTGCTAGTAAATGGATATGGTCTAGGGTTTGTGTACGATTGTCTACAAACTAATATATAAAACTCTTGAGTGTCCATTTTGTGCATGTCATTGTCACTTATAAAATGGAAAGGTTGGTGAAGATGACACATGAGAACACCAGTACCAAAATGGTTCCATTGGAAGGAATTTGCACTTTCAGTATTAGATGCTAAAAAGTTAAGGAATATCATTTCTTGAAGGTGTGTCTTGAGGTATATGTCTCTGTCTTTGATTAACCCTTTGGAATTTTGATAAATTCTTTGCTTAATAACATTGCAATTATGTACCATTTAAATATATAGTAATTATCTTTTAAACTGCAGGGTAATTAAAGGATTTTTTCCCAACCAGAATAGCAGTGTTCCATTTGGAAGAGAAAACGAGAACTTAGGATAGCAATTGTACTTTCAGTTACTTAAAGGCTATTGCCAAGATTAAAAAAAAAAGTGTAAGTCAAAACAAAAGTCTGCATTCTGTCGAAAACATATAATTATCACCTAAGAAAGAAATGTAAATATCAGACTCATTGTGATCACTGTTAGTTATTCATCTTTTCTTCATACTGTTTTCTTTGAAGCATAAGCATGAACTGGCCACTATCAACTTTTATTGCTGGCGAGTTTCAGCTTCTTGGTTCGCAGTTCATGTGATGGTTCAGTCTTCAGGTTTCCAGAAAGGCAGGGATAGAATTCACATAGTAATTCACAGTTAACTAAAAGTTTAAGTTAACTAGAAAAGGGAGAAAAAAAAAAAACTGAAACATTCCTCCTGCTTACCAAGTTTGCTTTGTTTTCCACATTTTTGTTTGCGCACAGGATTCCCATTGCTATACCCACATTGCTTCAAAAACTGCAGCCATAGAGCATCTAGCTGCTTTGGGTCTTCACAGTTTAAAATGTGAAATACTGAGTTATCAGTAAGTCTTGAAGATAGGAGCTGACAATCTGGGTTGAGCACCAAGTGTTGATTGAGAGAATTCATGAAGCCTCCAGAGTCCCTTCAATCTGTGTGTGCTGTGTGGTGTAAGATTGGAATAAGCTTCACCTTCCCCTTTGGCCAGGTGTGAAGGACTCACTCTGAAAAGCAGTTTTGGGCTGAGTGTCCTCAGCGCAGTAAAGCAGCTGCTCTGGCTTTCTGTGGGGACAGAGCTTGTGCCAGAACTTGTTTCCCATCTTTGCCTTGCAAGGGGAAAATCAGCTAGTGATGTGGAGAATTTGGTCTTTTTCTGGGGAGGGCTGCTCATAAACGTCAGTTTTTCTCCCCTGATTCCTGGTAGGTCTCCTTACACAGACAAAACTACAAACTTTCCCAGCCTGTCAAATCAGAGTACAGGAACAGGGTACCAGGAAAAGTTTTCCTCCCCAGATGAAAAACAGCTGTTAAATTTTTCCACATCAATAGAAAAATCTCTTTTGACCCATGTTGGAGTAAATGCCAGTGTTATTTTGTTCATGGCATGTGCCCTTGCAAGTTCAAATGTGACATCAATGTACAAAAAAAGTGGATTTCTGAAATCTTTTGTCTTGGGGTTAAGAACCACAGTTAGGAATTATATCAAAGAAGAAAAAGCATGACTTGTACATTGACTCATACTCAGTTATGCTTTTGTTTTCAGAATCGACAGGAAAAAGGATAAAACAGAAAGAAAGATTTTAGACAGCCAGGAAAGAGCATTCTGGGATGTGCACAGGCCTGTGGTAAGACTACTTTTGAATGAAGAGACTTTCCAGGTTTTGACAGGAAAAGTTTTATTACTAGTAAATGTTTTATGCACAAAAACATTGCCCTTACAGTCACCACATGGATTTTCCTCGTGGTGACTTGTTCAAAACGCACCAAGTGTCTGCAAGATTATTTATGACATTCTGAACTTCTGTACCTATGGAACTGTTGATTTGGAAATATGTGAAAAATACGAACTTTGGAAAATTATTTACTGGGCTTATGAAAGAAAAGCGGCTTACTCAGTGTGTCTCAGACTTCCTAGCAAAAGCTCCCCCCTGTTAGGTATTTCCTTTTGGTGCCAAAGTTAGGAGTAAGTGGATTGAATGCTGACATGGCATCCTTGGGCATATGCAGTCTCTTATTTAGCAAGAGTAATTTATGGAACACAAACCTCAAGAAAGAGTTTTGGAAAAGATCTAATCATATATTTATAAAGGTAAGGTAGGATGAAGATTCTTAACAGAGGAATAACACAATTACCATCTCTTTTCAGCCAGGCTGTGTGAACACCACAGAAATGGACATTAGAAAGTGTCGCCGTATGAAAAACCCACAAAAAGTGAAAAAGGTCAGTTTGAGTTCCTGGTTTTGGTTTTTGCTTGTTTGGAGTTGGTTTGGTTCACTGTTTTTGTTTTATTTTAATGTAAATCATACTTGACACCTACTGTATATGAGACTTGCCCAGGAGGAACAAAAAAAAAGTGTTTTGTTAGTACAAGTTCTGTTTTGTTCTCCTTGATGAATTTATTATTTCAGTTTTACCAGCAAAGTTGTACTAACTTGATGGGTGGAGCTGAGAAGGGCATTAAGGATCTCTGTGTCCCAAATGTCTGATGGCTCTGCAGTCCCATAAAATTAAAATGAATTGGCAAAAATACCCAGGTCCCTTTTTAAGAAATTATTTGGGCACAGATAATGAGATGTTTACCTGCCTTAATCATTTCAAAGGCTGGATCATTAGCAACTTGGGTGTCTTTCACTTCCAGCAAGTTTGAGCTCTTCTATGTATATGAATTCATACAATCAATTAGATTGAAGAAAACCATTAAGATCAGTGACTCAAAACCTTAACCTAACCAAGTCCTTCACTAAACCATGTTCCTGTCTTTTAAATAGTTTCAAGGATGGTGACTCAAAAACTTCTCTGGGCAGCCTTGTTCCAGTGCTTGATAACCATTTCAGAGAAGAATTTTTTTTCCTAATATCTAAGCCTCTCTTGGCACAGCTTAAGGCTGTTTCTTCTTATCTCATCACTTGTTATATTTTTGGACAGAACACTAGACTCCTGAACTTCCATAAGTAGTTAAACTGCAGAAGAGATATTCACATGTCTATTAGGAGTTTTACTGAAAAGCAAAAGCACTACATGAAAAGGCAAATGGTATTACTTTCAGTGCAGGTGTCTCTCCTGAAAATGAATGGCTACAGGTCAGTCTGCAGGTTTTTGTTTAGAGAAGTTCATGTGACCTATTGCTGCCTGTCTGCTATTGACCACTTTCTTCAATATGTAGTTTTACATCAAGAAATTAAATCAAGTGAAAGACAGCAGCATAGAATTAGGTTCAAATATTTTCTTTTACCACTTGGTCCCCCCCCAGTGACAGCTCCCAGTGTTCATCCTGTGCAAGTGTTAGTGCATACAGCCTTCAGAGCTCCTAAAAATTATCATTTAAACATTTAAAACAAACTCTCCTCTTAACATGCCTACAGGCCTTCTAAGTGCAGGCATCAGCAAGAAAGGTCTGATCTGTAAATTTTGCTCAGGGCTGAATAATTATTTACCTGTGTGGGTATAAACAGTAGGAAATTGCTGGCTTGATACCTTACTGCTTTGCATACTGCACTGTTCCTCATTGTGTAACAGAGAAATGCTGTAATCCTTTGTTTTGTTCCTTGGTTCCTCCCAGTCAGTGTATGGGGTTACAGAGGAGTCTCAGCCCCAAAGCCCTGTACACCTGCCCTCCCAACCGGTGCGCAAAACGACAAAAGAGGATTTCCGGAAGCAGGTAAGCAGGTGGCTGCATGGCAACTCTTCTGAGAACTGCTCCCAGAAAAAAAGCCTAGAAAGTTACTGAGATACCAGCAAAACCAATTGTATGCTTTACCTGCCCTTGATCCTCACACACTTATCCTTGATTCTCACTTATGTAAAGTATTAGTAAGTATTCATTGAGCTGTGTGGTTGTATGGTGATATGTATTACGAGTAACACTGACCTTTGAAACTACTTTTATTGTCTGTGGACCAGACAGAGACAATAAGGCAATAATTCCAGTTCACTGAGGATGTCTGTAAAGTGGACAGTGACAAAGGCCAGTGTACTGGGCACAGGCTGGGGATGAGTGGTGAGGAAAGGCATCGTTTAGTGCATGACTGTTAAACTGTACAGTCAGAGCTTTTAGGAAACTAGGAAAAAGTTATCCAGACAATCATGCCAAGGAATGACCAGCCAACTCACATGTCCTTGCACTGGCACAAAGAGCTCTCCCTCAAAATTACTTTGCTGCAACAAGCAACCCTCACTGAAAGACAAATAGGAATCACTGGATCAGCATTTTCCTAATGCAGCTTTAAACAAATTTCTTAGGCAACCAGTTTTTGGGTGGTCTTGTGAACTAAACCTGGATGCTACATTTCTTGAGCTCTTTTATAATAGGCTGAAGAACTGGTTCATAGCAGAATGAAAGTGTGCTGTAAAATGTTACTGGTCTTGTGATGCCAGTCAGTAAGAGGAATGGGAGAGCAGAGTGTGTTTGGAAAAAGGAGATCATATTGTACTCCGAGTAGTCTAGGAACCTTGGCCCCAAGTATGTGTCTTTTCTACTTTCAGTTATGTCTTCTGAAGCTTCCCCTGGGGCTTTGCCTTTGGCAATGGAATCTGCTATTGGAAGCAGTTAATAAGTTTCTGATACCTAGGGAAGGGTCCCATTTCCTTCTGAGTTACTTTCAAGCTGTTTGGAAAGAGAAATCAATAGTGTGTTGGGATATTGTCAGTGCATGCTGCAGAACTCATAAATTGTTAATGTCCTTGTCATCTCTCTCCTTAGATAACTTTTCTGAACATGCAGATAGAGAGACATTGTTTAAAGATGTCCAAAGTAGCAGAAAGGTGAGTGTCCCCATTTTGATGATTTCCCATTCTTTCCTCAGCTCCAGTTTGGCATTTCTAGAAACAGAGCAGGCAGCAAAGTGCAAAGACTTTACCCCCTTTCTGTGCATCAATCCTTTCCCTTCCTTGACCAGACCTTGCTGCCTGTCTGCTGACACTTCTGTACTCACTCTTCTGCCACTGAGCAAAACTAGGTGAGAAATCAGGACCTGTAATACTGCAAAAAAGAAGCATTAACAAAAGAAAAAACCCTTGTGTGACTTGCTTCTCACCCCTTCACTACCCTGTGGTTTATTTTTAGAAAAGTAATTCCTTTCTCAATTTGAAAATACCCTTTTTTCCCTTTTTGGCTGAACTCTCAGTGCTTATCTCTTGTTAGTCTGGCACAGCCCTGGGGAAGGAGCTGTGTTGGCATTTGTTGCACATGGTGTTCATGTCTCTGTTCATACTGGGGTTGTAGGACCAGTTCCTGCTTCCACTTACGTGTGTATGAAACCCTTGGAGAAGTACTGGGGTTGTACCTGGACTACTCAAGGCAGTGTTTTAAGGACTGGATTTCTAAGAAGAAAATCAAGGCACAATTTGACTTGCAGAATATTTAGTTTTGGTAGAAAAGTATGAATAGGTGAAGAACAAGCTCAAATTTAATTGAGTATGGGAGCTCATTTTCTTAGATACTTATAAGTTATGCACATTTGCAGGGTAGTCACTCAGATGAAGGTAGGGATAGCCATGTTCTTCAGTGATATGACTTTTAAAGCAAAACTGTGTTAAACGTGAAGGATAGGATAAGGGCTGGTTCCTTCTAGGGAAATGATAGAGGAGTTTTTATTTCAGCAAAGCAAAACGGGAATACCCCATGAAATGTGCTTTGCAGTGCCTGCACCTGTAGTTAGTATGCATGTACTAAACCAGGTAAATTAAATGGTGAGAGGCCCAATGTAAGTTCTTATTGGCTCATCAAGTTTAGCAATTAAAATGAAAATGTGTCCAATTAAAGAGAAAATATTCAGAGGCTCCCTGAAATCCTGCATGCAATACATTGTATGATTAAAATGTGCCCATTTATATTTATGTTTTGGGCTTTTGGATCTTTTCAATTAAGAGCATGTACTTTAAAAAAAAAAGTTATTGTATTGAATTTATTTACAATGACCTTAATATACTGAGACAGTAATAATTTATCTGGTTTGAAAGGGGTTTCCTTTTTTTTTCTTTTTTAATTGCTCTCAAGTTGGAGAAGAAAATGTTGCTATCAAAACTTGTGCAAAATAATAACCAGGAGAAAAGCAAATCAAATGAGAACAGTCAAATTACAGAATGACAGAATAAGCTGAGTTGGAGGGGATCCACTGGGATCATCAAGTCCAACCCCTGGCCCTGCACAGGAGAAAGAGCCCCAAGAATCACACCATGTGCCTGAGAGCATTGACCAAACACTTCTTGAACTCTGGCAGGATTAGTGCCAGGACTGCTTCCCTGGGGAGGCTGTTCCAGAGCCAGACACCCTCTGTGTGAAGAACCTTATATTTCTAAATAATTATTAATAATTATAAAGAATGAAAATCATGGTTGTGATCTTTATCTCTTGTGAGGAGGTGTTTGGTCACGTGATGACTTTGAATACTGATTAGAATATTGGCAATATTGATTTGAGAGTCCCAGGACTTGGTGTGGAGAGTGGGTGGGAAGTGCAGCCTGGATGTGGAGCATTGCAGAGCAGGTAGGAGGGAAGCAGAGGAGCTGATGGGTCCAGTGGCTTTGCAGGGGTAGGGACTGGTGAGGAGGAATGAACATGGATGACCTGACTTGCACAGTTGCCCGAAAAAAAACCTGTGCAGCCTTGAAAGCCCCATGAAAACACTGATTACAAGCACTGGGAACAAATTTGCTGTGTAAGGACATGCTGTTGTTATCATGTCCATTTTCAGGCTGGACCCTGCTCTCAGGACAGTTTAGGTGACAGTGGGGCAGATCAGGGTACAGGAGATGACTTCCTGGCACGCTGCCTTCAACAGTCAAGCCTGACTGTGGCACCATCTGCCAATTTTTCAATATAGTACAAGAGCACTTTCAGAGAGGATGAGGGAAGTAACAAGGAGCAGATAAATCAGGAGGCACTAGGGTAAACAAGTTATAGGAATAAGATATAAATTGTTTCGATAGTAATAGATTAATTGTATTTATTTTATATTAATTCACGCTATTCTTGGGATAGCTCTTGTCTATCAGAAGAGGAAGGCTCTCCAAAGGATATCTGCAGCTTCTGAGAGATAAATGCTCGCTGCTAAAGATTTTCTTTCCCTTCCTCCCTGTTCTGCTTCCAGGAGCAGATCTGTACCAACTGTGGGAACAGGCATCCCTCAGCTGCTCCACACACCTTGGAAACTGTCTTTCTTCCACATCCTTTCTCCCCACTTGGGACCTGTGCACTGTCAGTTTTAACCACTGAGCTTTGAGAACTGTTGAGCAAAACTATCAATATATTCTACCTATTGTTTTAACTGACTGCATTGTGCAGTGTTAGTACTATTTCATTAGACATGGCATCACCGAAATGGCTGGGGAAAAGTGAGCATCTTCCTACCAGAAGCAATCTCAGTTCCCTAGATGAAAATCTGATGAAAAGCTATCCTTTCAGCTTCTCATCAAAGTTCCTGTGAAGGCTCAGCAGGCCCCTTTGATTGAGAGACAGTTGGGTTCTCAAGGCAAGCTCTGCACCCTTCAGTCAACTGTTCCTACCACCTCTTCTACTGGGTATTCAGTTTATCACCCAAAAGGCCGGGTTTGCATTTTGACAAAAATGCTTTTCCTTAGCAGTCCCCTGCCTGTAGCCTGCTTTAGACAATGAGGCAATGATTCTGCTGCTGCCATTATACTGAATCAGCAAAATGTGCTTAGAAATTCCCCCTTGTTTCATTTTCGTTTTTTCCCCCTTTCCTTTTTGCTGGTACTTGTATTAGCACCTCTGATGCCTTCTTATTATTTTATTAGGAGCAATTCAGGTTTCACAGCAGATATCTCCTGATTGATCCTTTTTGGCTTTCTTTTCTTTTTTAACCAACCCTCTCTTTCATTGATGTCTAAGGGACTGCTGCTGCTCTGTGAAATTGGACGCTGCTCCCTCCTCCAACCCTTGACCCACAGCAGTCATGAAATGTAATTAATGAAATGAGATGAGACAGCCCCGAGTGCCCTAAGGGGCAATGGGAACCTGCTGTGGTTACAAAAGTGTATGATTTTAATGCCTCATGATAAGAGCTAGGACAAACAAAAAGAAATAATTACTATAGAACAGTTCAGGGAAACTTTCTGCCTTTTATGACCCTTTGTTTCACAGAATCTTTTCCTTTTTGAGACGTGGAGGACCAGAGGTAAAGTTTAGCATGGACAAACGTTGGGTGTTTAGTATGATGAGACATAATTAACTTAGTTAATTACTTGGCAGATGTAGGCAAAAAAATAAAGTGCCTTAGAGTATTTCCAATACAGACTAGAAGAAATGTCTTTTGATTTATTTCATATTTGCTGTCTTTCTTTTGTAAAAATGCGCCCCTAGCCCCAACCCCAGTGGAATTCCTGAATCATTTATGCAAGCAGACACAGTCCTTTCCCCAGAAAGCTCTTTGATTCTCATCCTAGTGAGGATGAGAGGCTATATGCCTTAACTGACTCACCATGAAGCAAGCCAGTGTAAAGGCCAGGAGTTTTTCCAATGTGCATATTATTTACTGTTCTTTAAGTTAATTATTACTGTTGAAGTATTTTACAATAGTGCTGTTAGACTAAATACTATACCAACATAACTAAAAAATTATCTATATGCAAAGCTTTGATGTTTAGGGTTATGATCCTCCAAAGATTTAAGCATATTCTTAGCTGCAGCCCTTGACCCTGTTTAGGTGAGTTTCTCATGGTGCATAAATTTATGTGGGTGCAAAAGTTTGCAAAAATGAAAAAGATGAGAGTAAATAGTAACATGCAGCAAATGATCAGGATGATACATACTTCATAATCTTCCCATGGCTCTCTGGGGGAAGTCCTGCCATAGCAATCCAGTTTGTTGCCTCATCAGGTTTTTTGGGGGCATCTCAACACAGACAAGCTTGAGGAAAATGCTGCTGTTGAGGAAAATACTGCAGTGAGCTGGTGGGTGTTTGCAGAGAAATCCTTGCATGCATCATCCCTGGGAAAAGGGTCTCCTGTGCCTGCTGAGAAACTGACTAATCCCTATAAATAAAAAGAAGCACACACAAAACCAAAACAAAACCACCAAAAAAAACCAACCCAACAGGATAAAAAGAAAAGCTATACTTTTCTGACATGTGACTAAGCATTCAGATCCTTTATTCTTTTTTTCCCTTTTTTTTTTCCCTGCCAGTTTAATAGCCTACACAGAGCAGTATGTGGAATATGACCCCTTTATAACTCCTGCTGAGCCTTCCAATCCCTGGATAAGTGATGATGCAGCACTGTGGGACATTGAAATGAGGTAAAAATTAATTGGTGGTTTTAACTAATGTGAGAGTTGTCTTGACAATTTGTTTGCATGCTCTTCACACTGCCCTGTTTGAAAAGAAAGTTGTATGTCTGTACTACAAGATTCAAGAGCATAGCTGAAGTTTATCACTGGCATCTATGAATTATTCAGACCTTCCACTTCCATATGGCTTGATGTATGTGACTCTCTAACTCAGGTAATGGATGTTCTCATACCTGTCAAACACATGCCCAGACTCAGGTCTAGGAGCCTAAAGCGATAGGATACTGCTAAGGCAAACTTAGCAAATAAGATGTGTTCCAGCACATCTTATTTGACTCTTGGGAGCCTGCTCTTCCCAGCTGCAATGCTCCAGCTCTGCTCCTACCATGGAATCCCATGAAAGATGCTGCTGAAAAATGGGATGAGTTTTAAGTGGTGGCCATTGCTGCTGTGCAGAGTGAGTTTGGCACAGGAGCCAGAAGAGTGTAGCTCATGTATGATGTGTGAGACTTGGCAGGTCAGAATTGTAATAGGTTGATAGGGTGAGTTTGGGCCTCATCTGTTGGTGAACACGCTGGCTTGTCTCTGTTATGATGTCAAATAGATGGAAAAAGCGAGGAAAAGTCTGTAGGACATTAAATGCCTTGCATCTCAGAGAGTTTCTAAAAAAAAACCCCAAAACAAACAAGCAGAACACTGCAATAGAGATCATGTTTTGCCCATGTGATGCTGGTGCAAGGGAAGTCTGGCCTGTGTCTGTGTCTCTTGCCCTCACAGGCTATCCACAATTTTCCTAAAGGGGCTCGAATTGTCCTGCCTGCCACTATGCCTAACAGCTCCCTCAGCAAATTTGAATGGAACTCCCATGCCCCATATTACCTTCACTACTCAATCACATCCTGTGGCCAACAATTGTAAGGACTCAGCAACTTCTCCAGTGTTTAGTTGCTGCCATTTGGCACCAAATCTGAATTTGGAGTTCACTTCAGCAAATCTTTAATAAGAGAATGCCAAATCTAATCTTGTGTGTTCTTGAATTATAATTTAGAGATGTTATTGGCCCAATAAAACTGATTCATAGGGAATCAGTGTTCCAGGAAAAGGACAAGATTTTTCCCCATTTAAAAACCAAGTAGTTTGGGATGTGAAAGTTGTTTTCACCTACAGAAATCCATTATTTTCCTAACCTCTGCCCCTCTTCCCATAATTTTATTATTTAGTTTTTTTTTAGCTAGTTTCTCTCATTTTCTCCATCCTCCCTAGTAGGACTAGTACCAGATACAGCCCTTGCAAAATACTGCTTTGTAGAAGCCCTCACCCACAAGGTAATCCAGGCATCCATTATTTCAGCATCTGTTGACGTAGTTGCAAATCCCAGAAAATATGTCTGTGTCCCTGAAGAATACAATTAACCTGATGTCACAGCCTTATAGGAATTTAAAATAAGTGCTTGGCTTCTGCTATGATTTCAGAGTTAAGGAAGGTGATTTTCCTGCAGATGAAAAAGAGAAAGCTGTAGTGTGAGAAGATGGAAAAACAAACAGCTATGTTTTTCCATTTTATTCTCTATTGTAAAAAAACTAACTGCATCTGCATCTAGTTGCAACTTGCATGAATAATTAAATGATCCCCAAGATCCCCTTGTGTTGCCTGCAAAGCTGTTTCCTCAGCTAGGAGGGCAGAGCCCTTGTGCAGGAAAACAAAGAGCTCTCACTGCCAGTGGCAAGGCTGGCTGCTGAGTATGGGCAGCCCCGTGCCACTAGAGTTCATCCTCCATGGCAGTCAGGACTCAGGAAATGCCACGGAAAGCATTCCGTTTTAGACAGCACTTTGGCCTTTTTTGTGTGTGTGCCACAACATTGTGAAGCTGCAAGAAGAGCAGGTACAGATCTCTGGATTCAGCAGGAAATTCCCTGAGCTTAGATTGTGCATGGCTCTGCACAAGCATGGCTTTTGTGTCCGATGTCCAGGCTGGTTCACATAACAGGTAGGCTGGATCTGCACCTTTGTCTGCAGCACTCTGGCTCCTGAGGGAGCGCAGGAGGAGCCATCCCGACTGTGCTGCTCCTCGAGTGAGGACATGCCTATCAATTTTGCTTAGCCTTTACATCAAGAGAAAATGAAAGCAGACATTTTATTTACCCCTTTGGCTTATTTGTCTTCAGCACAGATCGCCACTGTCCCCTAAGGCTCCATGATTAGGAATCGCTGTGGACATGACGAGACACATAGTTTAATAGATATGTACTGTTAACAATGGCTCTGCTGTCACAAATGTGAGCAGCTGAGCTGTGCTCTAATGGTTGTCTCATAGTATGACGCCATCACACCAGAAGCTTTCAAGCACTTTGTGAGCCCAGATTACGCTCTGATGCAGGCTGTCTCATAGGATCCTTGTTGTGATTCCCAGGCACCTCCTCTGCCCATAGGCGTCTCTGCAACATGTCTGGCAATTCAAACAACAGCTTATGTAAGTTGGGCTCTGTTAAGAAATAATTAAGGAGAAAGGTTGCTGGTGATTTTGGGTGCCTCTGCATCTCAGTATCCCAGCTGAGACACAAAATGAAAGTCTGATTATCATGGAGAGTAGGAGGAAGATGCTTTTTAGTCTTCTGAGACTTAGGCATGCAAAAATCGGAGGCACTAAAAAATGAAAGACCACAAACCAGTAATCATTTTAGATACTTCGCCTGCACTGCTTCTTAGTGGAACTGCTTTTCTAATGCAAATGTGGATCTGAAAATCCGAAGCCAGTTCCAAGTGACCAGGCAGTACTGTGTGGGACACAAGGAAATGCTCTGGAGCTCACCAGTGACCCAGGGAGCATTACTGGGAAATTTTTGCCTTGATGTATAAGAAATCCTAAGGTACATTTGAGGAGATGTGCAAGAAGTACATAATGAATAATCATTTAGGCATGGTATGCTGTTCTTCCAAATGAAACCTACCAGAAATTGCTCTGAAAATCATATCATTCTCTCTTATTTCACCATGTATGTAGCACCCAATTAGTGTCCTTTAATGAGTCAAATGATGTAATGGTTTAAAGTCCTCCAGTTGCTTTAATGATGATCCTGGTCTTTATAGGTTTCTTTGTTATTTGCTAACTTGTATTTCTGAAAAATCTTGAGAAAAAAACAACATCTCATCTAATAATTTTCCTCCCTTCACTTAGCAGAAGCAGCAGCAGCTGCTCGGACAGCAGGCAGAGATGCACATTCCATCTGTTTTTCCCCTTCTCTCTCCAAACAGCAAAGAACCTAGTCAGCAGCGTGTGAAGAGATGGGGTTTCTCCATGGATGAGGTGCTGAAGGACCCCGTAGGACGAGACCAGTTCCTTCGTTTCTTGGAATCAGAATTCAGCTCAGAAAACCTCAGGTGAAACCTTTTCTGACTTGACTAAATGAATGGGCCTGGTCCTACCCTCTTGCATAGGTGAAATGCACTGTTTGGTGTGTCTTGAACTGCTAAAAACACCCATTTGAATAAGGATGAGAATGGCAGGGTTTGACCCATAGCGCTGCTACAGACGCCCATACTAAACCTATGTGAGTAATCTCAGAAGCAGTGTTTAGCAGAGCCAGTGTTGTCAGGTGTCTTCTGCATGCAAGGGCTTGCAGACTTGCATGATGTGATGAGATGCAGCACATCACTCCTGAGCCCAACAAGATATAGGATTTCTATATTGTGTGTGTCTGTGTGGCAGGGCTTTTTTGAGGGAAACACTATGGACATCATGTGGCTAAGAACTTGGCAGTTCTTAGTTGCAGTCAGGTTTCCAACAACTACTTTTAATTTTGGCATGTGCTGACTATCCAACAGCTTGTCTCACCTTAACAGGACTCTCTGTGTGGGGGTTCTGAGTATCTGACTTCTCAAGTTGTGAAGAAGTCAAGACTTCTATTATGAAACATTGTGTAGACATGCACATGATCCTTCATCAGGCTGAGAGCCAGTAAACCCCACTTTTTTACTGGAACACTACAGAGGTGCTGTTGTGGTGCTGTGGTTGTGTCTCAGCACGAGGATGAGTAAAAGGACAGGTTCTTGCGGGGTCTTTTTGGGGCAGTTGTGTTCCAGAAGGCTGAGTAAGCATTTGCAGGGAAGGCCAGAGAAGATTGCAGGTTTACTGGCAGAACTGTGCCTGCTCTTGGGCTGAGAAAATCTGCTGTCAGGGATCACACAGTCAGTCTGGCTTTGGCCTTTGGTCGTAGTGAGTAGGCTTGGTGTTATCTTTTTACAGTAGATATGAACCTGACTGCACAGCCTTTTTTAGTTATGGTTTTTCATTCTATTTCATTTAGAAAATAAAATACATTACTAAAGCATGTGAACAATTGTCACTGTTGTGCAGTTGGCTAGCCTGCAAGATCTGAAAGAGGAATTCCCCAGAAAGTGATTTTTAATGACATTGGAACTTACCATCCTATTTATCAGGTTTTCCTGTCCAAGGAGAAGTAGAGAAAGCATGCCAGCAGCAAAGCAGTGAAAACTCAATGCACTTTATTGTTTTGAAAAATCTGAAAGATAACCTGTAAGAAAACAAGGGAGTGTTACTAATTACACAAATGAGCTTGAAATTTTATTGCTAAACAGGTACTGAACTTGCATATGCTTACTGCAGTTATGTACAGCAGCACTCATTTGCAATTAAATTGTAGTGATGAAGTGCAAAATTAATACACTGTATTAAAATACTCTTCAAATTAGTGCTCTGAAATTAATCTGGAGTTGTGCTAATGAAATCCAGCAGGTTTTATGACTAGCGTCTGTCCCCCATGTTCATCCTACTCAAACAGATAGAGAAAGTTTGATTATGAGGAGGCAAACTTGTACCTTCCTTGGTCAGTCGTAGCTGCTCCTCCTGCTGATGCACATTCTCTTTGATTTTGAGATGTAGTGAAGGGAAGAGGCAAAATCAGTGGGCTGGCATAGGTTAAATCCTACCTCCTTTGTGGAAGACATTAGCATCATTCTTAGTATGGGAACTTTGCTATCAATCTTATGGTATCATTATGATGGTATTGGCTTATGTGGTATTATTATCTCATATTGGATACATTAGCAAGCCTGCTTAAAGCTTTAACTAAAAGGATGCAAAGGCAGAAATATTAATGAAGAAAACCAGAATAGAGTGAATTATTAGCAGTAATGCTAGAGAGAAGAAGGGCTCAGGTGAGGCAGAGAAAGCTCCTTAATTCTCACTTGGAGTATGTACCATTAAAAAAAGCAACTGCTGGATGCTTAGACATGCAAGCAAAATCTAAGTTACACTCAACAGCAAAGTTGGGATCTGCCTCACCTAAGCTGACAGCTAAGCCCATGCTTTCTTTTTATCGAGTATCCTTCTGGAGAGAGAGGAGTCGGTGAATCACCTGAGAAGGATTTGTTTCAGCTTTAAGTGGAAACAAAACTAAAAGCACCTAAATTACACTAGAAAGTGCCCGTCTCTTGTTATCATAAACTTGGAGAGACTGATTCAAATGAGTCCATGGCAGGCAACTACAGTTAAGTGAGATACATCCCACCCAAACCCTGGGAAGGTGTAAGAAATTTTCTGAGAACACAAAGTATCCTTCTGAAGAGAGAGGAGTCCGTGAATCACCTGAGAAGGATTTATTTCAGCTTTAAGTGGAAACAAAACGCACCTAAATTACACTAGAAAGCGCCCGTCTCTTGTTATCATAAACTTGGAGAGACTGATTCAAATGAGTCCATGGCAGGCAACTACAGTTAAGTGAGATACATCCCACCCAAACCCTGGGAAGGTGTAAGAAATTTTCTGAGAACACAGCACTTAGCACCTTGCTAGAAAAGTAACATTCAGATTAACAAAAGTTAATCTTCGCAGGACTCTCTTCCAGTAACTACCCAGGCATCTTGGAACTGTTGCAGCAGGGATGTGCTATCTCTTGGGAGTGTCAGTAGGATCTTGGGAGTATCCTTAGGATTAATGCGGGCGGGAGCCCTATAGGTCCCTATGTTGAATTTAAGGCAGATCTAAGAAATTGACTGCTGGAAAACCTAGAAATTCATGGTAGCACTAGAAAAGATTTTGTGAAGTGTGTGCTCGAGAATGCCCTGAAATGAATGTAATTTCGTAATACAGCAAGGGGACCAAATTCTGCTCTTATACCTTGTGGCTCAGCTCCCAAATCACAGGGCTGATGGTGGTGGGGTATTTCCATCTCTTCCTAGCTGAGAAAAATTGGTCCCCGTGGGGTCTTGGGTGAGGCACTGCCAGAGATAGCAGCAGACTAGACTCGATGACCTCCCAGATCACCTTCCAGCTGTGTGTCTGTGTTCTAATAAACTTGCAGGATCTTGTCCACCAGTCTCCTGGGCTCCGCTGAGCCCTGTAACTTACTTATTTATTGGCTGTCCATTATTTATGTGGGAGCAGGAAAGCCAGTCAGTTGGTTATATTTCTCTCTGTTTTTATTTTAACTCTTTCTTGCTCTGTTTTCTTTCTCCTCTCTGTTGTTATCTTTCATCTACAATTTGTTTTGACTCGGGTGATTTGTGAAGTACCCAAAATATAGCTGATAAAATGCCAAATTTAAAACAAAATAAATAAGAAAGGATAAGAAAAGAAAGGGCATCAGAGAGTTATTATACATTTTTTATGACCTGGGAACCTTCTGAGACATCTTGAGATTGTGAGATGTTCATTTAGCTGGTGGATTGAATTTTTTCCCCCCCTAACTTTAAAGAGTGTCAGCTGGAATCAGCAAAGTGGGAATATGGGACATGGGAATTTCACCCGAAGGGAAAGGAGGCTGCACACCTGTTTATAGACCTCAGTGGGAAACATGTGACACTTTGTGGGAATGCACTGTGGAGCTGGCAGTGCATGGAGGCAGGTGCCCCGGGCCTTACTGCTTGTGAGCAGACGTTGAACATGGAGATCGCGGGAAAGGAGTTTTACCTGCAGGAAGTGTTTATATCCTACATGACTCCTAATGGTTGAAACTTGCTGCCAGGTTTTTTCCCCCTGGGGAAAGGAGTTTTCATCAGGAAAGGAGAAGTTCGGGCAGTGAGGAGAGCTCATATATGCAGTAAACACATCGAGCTGCCCCAAAGCCCCGTGCTCCCTAAATAAAGAACGTTCCTCCTGCAGTGCCGGGATGGGGCAGTGCCGGGCGGTGCGGGGCAGTGCCGGGATGGGGCCGAGCCGCCCCAAAGCCCCGTGTTCCCTAAATAAAGAACGTTCCTCCCGCAGTTCCGGGCAGCGCGGGGCAGTGCCGGGATGGGGCAGCGCCGGGCGGTGCGGGGCAGCGCCGGGCGGTGCGGGGCAGCGCCGGGCGGTGCGGGGCAGCGCCGGGCGGTGCGGGGCAGCGCCGGGCGGTGCGGGGCAGCGCCGGGCGGTGCGGGGCAGCGCCGGGCGGTGCGGGGCAGCGCCGGGCGGTGCGGGGCAGTGCCGGGCGCTGCCGGCAGGCGGCGCGGTCGCCCTGCGCACGGCCGGCGGGCGCTGCCCCGCGGCAGCGACACAAGGGCTTTCCTGCCCCACAGCACTGCAAGGACCGTCAGCAGAAGGAGGGACTTGCACCCTGGACGCCGACGTGCACAGCGTGGGAGGGGAGGGGAGGAAGGGCGGTGAGGGGGAGGCCTGCGGGCCGCTTGCCCCGTCCCCAGCGGCACTGCGGTCTCCCTGGCAGGTCCCCAGTGCCCCAGCGTGCAGCTTTGCAGCATCTGCCTGCCCCCAGCTTGCTCTCCACGGACAGATTTTTGTTGGTCTTGGCCGTGCCGAGCTCACCAAGCCAAAGATCTGACCATTAAACAACACAAAGATGTGAATATTGCCCCTGTCTGAAATGCATTTTGATTTTTATCAATTTGTTTCATTCATTTCCTGGCTGAGATGTTCAAAGTTAGTTCTTGGTGAATGGAAGAAGGTTTGTGAATGGTTAGATATGTGAGGCTGCCAGGGCATGGAATTCTGGCATGGAGCTACTGAGGCAAGGAGAGAAGTGTGCTTGGATTCCGACCTGAGATAGTCACTTGATGAATTCGCTGTCAAGCGAGGGGTATTGTGTCCACCCCCATGATGGGGATACAACACTGCCCTTATCTTGACTATTGTTTCTCAGTTTCTGGAGTAATCCATATTTTGCCTCCTGATCAGGATTTTAAATTAGTTTTTGTTTTACAGTGTACCACAGAAACGACCACTCCCCTGCTACTCACCCTGTCTTTCCCCAGCAGCTTTTTCACTGGGGGACATGTTTGAACAACATTGACCAAGCACCTCTGCAGTGCCCTGCAGGGAGGCAGAGCATGCATGCTGAGGTCCAGGAGCTCTCTGCACCTTGGGGGAGCTGCGGAGGACAAATGCCATTGTGGGATATCTTCCGCCAGTGACAGCAGTTTAATTACAAGCTGGATGAGGCTGAAATGGTTTTTGCCACTGACGCTTTAGGACACCATATTATCAGCTTTCTCCAGTCCTTACATGCTGTTTTATAAAGGACAAAGAACCTGTGATCAATGCTGCTGTTCCCTCTGTGCAGACAGTCCCTGTGCCAGTTCTGCTCTCTTTAAAGGGCACCTGTGGAGAGGACACACAAGGAGTTCTCCCTTCTCCCCTGCCCTGTGCAAAGGTGTGTGCTGGACGTCTGTCTCCTACAGAAAGAGAGGGGGCAATGCAGGATTTTCACCTGACTCCTTGTGAACTTGCGGCTGGGCTTGTGCTTCAGAAATTGCAGGAGTGATTCAGGGAGTCCATTTGCACTTTATAATTGAGCAGAATTTCCAGCACAGTTATTGTATGTCAGCTCCTTTCCTAAGTAGAAATACCTGCTTCTCTGTTGTAAATGCTGTAAATCCCATAGGAAGCTCTGCTTATGCGTTGGCTTCAGGATGATTCCTTGTGGCAGAGAATTTGCCTTGGAATTGAAGTCTGTGGGGCTGGGTACCCCTCTTTGATGTTACTTGATTTTCAGATGCCAGCTATAGTGAATAGCTTTGAAATTTTTACCAAGACAAAACTCCCCTTTGCCTTGAAGAGGACATCCAGCCTTGGGCATGAATTCACAATTGCTTGCAGTAAAAAGAGCTTGTTCTTGTTACTGTCAGGTTGGTCTGGTTGGTTGGTTTTCAGATTGAGCCAAATGGTTATTAAAATGGATGGTGCTCCTGTTCTGGCAAGCTGTCACTTCACAGCGATCCCAGTTCCCTCACAAGTGTGCTTTCCCAGCCCGCCTCCCTGGCTCCAGGGGCAGAAGATAAGCCAGAAGAAAAGGTTCTCTCTAGCCAGGTGTTTGTCTGAAGTGTCCCAGCTACTCTGGAATGATTAGCATCTTTTCTCCCTATGCCTTTTCTGCATTCACATGTTCCTATTACATCTGAAATTGAATGATAAAGTATTTTCAAATAACGGAAGCCACATATGGCAGCAGATTACTGCACTGTGAGTGCCACCCTTTACTCTCTGCATGCATGTGATAAGTGGGGGTGTCACTGCTCAAATGACAAGGCAGGATATCAGGTGCACTTAAACTCTCAAAGGTGGAAAAGGACCAACCATGCACACTCCTCCACCAACCCCAGATACTCTATTTCAGTTCATAAAATCAAATGTCACCTTGTTAGAACCACACGTATGTGACTCTATAGGTACTGATGTAGTGTTGGAGTGTACCTCATTCTTTTTTACTGAGCCTGCCAAGGAAATGGGAAAACCATATGAAGGAGTATCATCAAGTGGCTTGGGTGAGTCGGGGCTGTGGCATGAAGCCCCCCTGATGGTCAGGAAGAAGCAGCAGACAGGCAAGGAGGATTTAGCCTGGCCTTGCATGTCATGTGGATGTAATTTTCTCCCCAAATCGACTTTTTGCCTCTATCGCAGGTAGGATACCAGGCTAAATGGAGTAGCAGCCTCATTTGCTTGCAATAACACCACTGATTCCAGGGTGTCTAGGTACTGCCTGCAGCCATTAAGGAAGAGAGGGTCAGGAACAGCACAGGAGTCACCAGGCTGCTGTCCACCCTCACTGCCATCAGGATTTTTGTTTGGGACAGACTCTATCTCCCTCCCTCCACCATGGAGGAATATTTACCTTAGTGGCAGCACACTGAAACCACTGAATCATTTGAAATGAGAAATGAGGACTTCAGTTACAGTTCAACTGGTTTATAAGGAAGACACAGGATTTTCCAAGTTGTGCAGCTCTTGCGGATGCCTTGAACAAGCAGTGACTCAAACAATCCCTGTCCCCTCTGCACAGTCTGCCCAGCAGAGGGAGTGCATAAGAGTAGGGCAGGGACAGCCAGGGTGAGCCCTGCCCTCCTTGTCACCGTAGACAATGGGCACCTTTGTCAGGGGGTAGGAAAGAGCTGGCTATTGCAGGTGGCTGCAAAGGCGCCTTCCAGTACCTGTTTGCCCTGTAGCCTCAGCACTCCCTGCAGAGCCCTGTTGTGCTTGCTCAACCAGGTTGCAGGGCCCAGCTACTCAGGGCAGATGACCTTCAGGAATACCTTCTTGCTGGAAGATAGAGTTGACCAAAACAAAAGGCTACTGGGCACCATGCATCTTCTGAATTAATCAGCTGAAAGAGCATATCTCTCTCAGCAATAAATAAAACTAGCATCACCAAAAAATGTATTTTCTTTTTCCTAGGATAAAAGAAAAAAGACATGCATGTCACTCTTGCAAAATATTCTGTGGTCTTTGTTTTCACAGATCGAGATATGGATTATGTCCTTAGTTATCAAAGGGATTATCTTCTCAGTGTTTATGAACTTACTTTAGTCTGTAAGCATAGCCTAATCAAGAAAACACCACTGTAAAATTGGAGTATGGCATGACAAGAGTCATCTTTTCTCATGGCATCCATCTGAATGCTGGTCAGTTTACAAGTGAAAAAAAAATCTCTAAGTGGCATTGCTACAACTTCACACTGGAAATTATGTGACTGTTAAGTTTGTTCTTCATTTTACATCCCCTGTGGATGACCAATCCTGCAGGCAGCAATGACCAGCACATTGCAGCAGGGCTGTGGGAGGCAGAGCCTGCTCCTCTCCTCCAGCTGCATAGCTCTGGAGGTTTCCTGTTTGCCTGCCTAATATGACACTTCTGCAGGGGCAGTTTGACTAAGAATGTATCACTTCTTAAGGTCAGTGTCCTGATCTTAGCCACAATATAAGGGAATGGTGTAAAGTACATCACCCCTTCCCCTTGAAATCATGCTAACATGGAGTCTTCTGTGAATTCTAATAGATGCAGGATTAGGTTCTATATCTGTTTTAGGACTTTGCCTAGGCTTATTCACAAAATCTTACCTAGATTTCTATATTTTTCTCTTTTCTGCCCTTTTAATTTTGCCTAGTACAGGTTTTGGTTGGCTGTCCAAGATCTCAAGAAAAGACCTTTACAGGATGTGACCACGAGAGTGGAAGAAATCTGGCAAGAGTTTCTAGCTCCTGGGGCCCAAAGTGCTATTAACCTGGATTCCCACAGCTATGAGAAAACAAGCCAAAATGTCAAAGACCCAGGAAGATATACATATGAAGATGCACAGGTTAGTTTTTGGTTTTATGGAGCTACTGCTAATGAAACTCTGTTTTAATATGATATTCTACTATCACATTGTCATTGCTCACTTGTAAGAAAAAGAAGATGCACAGTTTGAAGTGACTTTAAGGATATCTGTTCAAGCTGGGTAAATTATATTTTCATTGAATCTATCTGTCATAACAGGCTAAGGCTCCTCTGGGAACAAATGTTCCAAAATCTACAAGTCTGCAAGGTGCTGCAAGCTGGAGCTATGTCTCAGAGAAAGCACAGATGAAAAAGTGCTATACAGTTCAGCTTGTCTGTCTGTGCTACCTGTCACTAAAGTCTGGCATAGTTACAGAATGGCCAATGTCATATCAAAATGCTGGCTAATACACTTTTTCTATATTTTATTTATTTATACCTAATTATATCCTCCTGCCAAACCCCAAAAGCAGCAGCTCCCTCCAACACATCCACCAGACAATACCTTAGAGTAATGATAGGACAGTAGGCAATGCAGTGAGCTTAATCCTTCCCTCCTAAGGCTCCAGATTTATCAGAGAAATTTTACAGATAAACTGTACACGGAAAATGCCTTGAGGAAAGCAGATAATTTGAGAAAAACTGCTATAAGCAAGGGTAAAGCTGCATAACCTTCTGGAAAGTGAAAACATAATTTTCTAATTTTTAAAAAAGAAAAATGAAGAAAGGATCATTTGGCAAATATTACTGGGGACACAAATTAAAAGATATTCTCCTCATAATCATTTTATCACAAGATATAGTAAAACCAACAGCAAATGAAAAGAATTCCAGGGTTTGGGGATTTTTTTTAATTGACATTCAAAGGCAATTCTTCAAAATACTCCACTAACAAAATACTTTCATCTCAGGGGAGATGTTGTGGACCACTTATACAAGGTTAGGCAATGAATTTTTCAAACCAGCATCAAATACTCTATTTTCCTGAATGCAATCTTGCTCCTTGGGGCCAGCATAGAAGGAATGTACATGAAGTTACAAGGCAGTCCCCTAAGAATATCAGCCAACTTAAATGCCCTTTCTAAAGCTGAGAGATACAGGAGTGTGAAGACATTCTGGATGAGATATATTCTTTGCTTGGCAGTTGTAGTGAAAAAGAATTGCACGCATCACCTGAACAAAATGATGATGGCAAAATACAGGCTAAAGTAGATAGGTGAATAATGGGAGAATTGATTAAATTGATAAGTAGAAGTACTAAGAATAAGACAAATGTTTAGATGATGAGTATTTAATTAGAAGAAGACACGGAGGATTTAGCCTTGAACTGATCAGTTCACAATGTAATTGCCATTCAAAGGGGAGTTGATACAATCAAGCTGGAGCCCTGGCAGCTAGACTGAAATTTTAGCTCCTTGGGTTAATTTTATTTCAGTGGATTTTTACACTGACAGATCTCTTCAATTCATCTGTTGTAGTTCATGGACACAGAAATATGAGGCAAAGGTAGACCTTCAAGGGCCAGCTATGGTTATCTTGGAGATTGAATCTATTGAATCCTCAGGAGAGGATAGCACAGTGTGGGAGGCGAACCCAGTTACCTTCTTGGGCAGTGGGCTTCTGGTAGCTCTCCAAAGGCCAAGCAAGCTGTTTGTGACTGCTTGACTGGATAGCTGAGAAGGCATTGTGACACAGGCAGGAAGAAGCAGGACATTGCTGAAGGGTGCAGTGCCCAGTAGAGTTTTTACTGGCTCATCCTGGAGAAGGGAAGTTTTTGTTTGTACATTCACTTCATGGGAGACAATGCAGATTGCCCCAGGGTGCTGTAAATCTCCCAGGGCCTGCTGTGGTGTTTCTCACAGGTCAGCCCTGCCACCACAGAGGCTCTCATCCATGAATCTGCAGCAGCTGCTTTATCTCAGCACCCTGGCACCAGGAGTCCATGGGAGCTCCCACACATCCCACATTCCTAGGGACTCAACCAGATACAACTAATCAAAATGCCCTCTGTGGGAGGGGAAAATACAAGTGTTGTCCTGTCCTGAGTAGTATTAGCACAAAGAGGAAAACAACTGAAATGTCCTTTTAAGTAAAAAACAAGAAAAAATTTAGTTTACTCAACAGCACATTCTTTGAATGACTTCAGGTCTGAGCCACTAAGAGGAAGGAAGAGTGTTGGCTGATCTGAGAAAATTAGTTCGATACTCCTGCAGTGGAAGAATAAGAGAAAGTGATGTGGCACTCTAGTCGTGACTTGAGAGATCCACAAAATGCCAATTCTGTATAAAAAGCACTGGAAATGGACACATTGCTGTACTTGGGAAGGGCAAAGTGTAGCAGAGCACACTGAGGCCAGCAAATGCTTTATAACAGGAAGTTGAAAGCAAAGCATCATTTGTTATCAGGTGCTTAATAGTCTACATTTGATGTGCTTCTTTGCACACCCTTGGCTCCCAGCCCCAAAGAGCTCTCCCAGATGCTGCTCAACCATCTGGTAAGGCAACTAGCCTGGATAAAAACAGGGAGAAAAGAGGCTCTTGGCAAACATTCCTCTCACTTCAAACCTCTTTGTCCCCAGGCCAGTCATGGTCTGAAAGCAAATGGGTGCTCCGTTTAAGAAAATCTCAGCTCCAAATCTCAGTCCCCAAAGTGCTCCTAATCCAAACCTGATTTTGGTGTGCATTTATTATTTCAGACAGACCTCTTGCTGACATGCATTTCTGTTCCACAGAAGCAAATGTTGTGCCATTTCTCCATCTCAGCTTAAGATACTTGCCGTGCTGTGTCCCTCAGTGCTGCTGCACTCCACAGTCCTGCACTGCTGGGCTTGCATGGAGCTGCCCCTCCTGCTGTGGCTCCCACAGGTGCCATCGCCCACCCCGTGCCCAGCTCAAGCTGTGCCAGCCCACCTCAGCTCTGAGCAGAGTGTGCTGTGCTGGCTCAGCCTGCACTCCCCTCCCCAGCTGTCCAGTTTGTTGGTGCCTCTGTCCTTGAACAGCCCAGTGCTGCTCCTGGCTCTGTCCCCATCATCGGCTCTGCCAGCTATCTTGGTCTGCAGAACCTTCTGTCATTTTAGTCCTGGGCCCCTCCAGAGGGGAGCCTACCAATTTAGCTGATTATTTTCTGCTCTTAGACAACTGTCCTCTGAGTAAAATATTATGATTATCAAACCATTTTCACTGGGGACCAAAACAGCTTTTAATACAAGGGGCATCGTCAGGAAAGGTCAGTTCAATTAAACAGTGAAGTACTTAGCAGGATGTAAGCTCCCACAGGAGTTATCAGCAGCATTGAATAACCAGTGTGGGGCCCTGCAATATGAAGCAGGCACCGCCAGCTTTGGAAAGTAAATAGGTTTGGGTCCATCTGAATGGCCTCTTTTGGCTAATGAAGCTGCTGACAGCCAAAGTAATTCATCTTTATATGGGAACACAGAGCTGTGAGTATGACAATTATGGCTTATCTGTACATGTTATTAGTTTTTTAACCATTCTTCTCCTACCCCCACCAAGCATCTCCTTGCCTCCCCTGAAATGTCTTTCTGCCTTCAGAAAATCTTTAATCCCTTCCTCTGTCCCTTGGTGTTAGGAGCTAGTATCACCAGGATGCATTGTGCTTCCTCACAGTAATATTTGTAGGGACATTTAGTCTACATTTACTGGTAGACTTCAGAGCTAGGTGTAGCAGAGTCAGGTAAGCCACACAGTTGTCTTTGGAATTCCTTTCCTGTTTTGTTTATTTTTATTCTTTAATAAATAAGATAGAGTTTTAGGTTGATATTCCTTTACCTGAACTAACCAGCTGTTCTTTCTATAAAGATAATACAGGGAAATTCAGTTCTAACACAGGCTCTATTAGGAATTTAACTGTTATTTTGAGATCCTTGGCTAATTCCAGAGCAGATTTAGACCATAATGCTAAATTCCAGGCAGCTCAAACCAGAAATGTACCTGTCCCAGATTTGAAACATAGAATAATTTGGGACAGAAGGCACCTTTAAAGTTCATCTAGTCCAGTTCCCCTGAAATGAGCAGGGTAGATCCTTAACTAGATCAGGTTTCTCAGAGCCCTGTTCAACTTGACCTTGAATGTTTCCAGAGACAGTGAATCTGCCGCCTTTCTGGACAATCTTGGCCAGGGTTTCATTATCTTCATTGTAAAAACTTTCTTGCTTAAATCTAATCTTGAGATTTGAGCCCACTTCATGCTCTCAGCTGCCTCATGTGTAGCTCCATTTGTTCTGGACCGTGACAGAGATACGAGTCCTTGCAGGATTCATCAGTGGTCAGTCATCAGTTTGCATTCTGGTTGTATCAGGAAGCTCAAGGTGCTGACAGAATTTGACAGGATCCTGTTGAATTCAAAACCAAACTTCCAAGTTTAAACAAGGATCTCTTGGAAATGAAATGTTATTTTTTACCAAGAAGGGAAAATGAGGGGGGACTTCTCCTAACTTTTTATTTCTAAGCATGCACAGGATGTGAAAGGCCTGGTGTCTATTCAGTGGGCATAGAGAATTCCTTTTATAGGTCTGGAGCAAAATGACAGCATGGAAGGAAGATGTGAAAATAATAATTCATTGTGTGTCTGTATCATCTTTCGTGTAAGAACTTGGAGAAGCATTATGCCTATTTTCTTAAAGTTTTGTCCAGTCACCCCAGGTACGGGCATGCGCATAAAGGACAACGACTAAGGATGGGTTAGCAGTGCAGGCAGCCAGCAAGGGGACATGGGGCAGACCAAGGTCCTTTGCCTCTAAGAGGGGATCAAGTCCACCTGAACCAGTGCTGCTCAGAGACATTGAGCCTGTGCTGTGGGGAATTGAAAGCATTATTACATGACATCAGTATTTACACGTGAATGGTGTGCCCAGGGATCTTGGGGGCTTTTGACAGCCTGCACCTTCCTGTGGAAGTTAGGGACTGGACAAGGACTTGACCTTTATTCTCTTCTCCTCCTTTGGCTCTGATTCTGTGGGACTGGAGGAAAAAATCCTTCCTTTCACTGCAGTCTTCCTTGTATTTGGGTTATCATGACTGC